GAAAACAAGACCAAGTTGCGACAACGAGGTCAACCCACTTCTATCAATCGAAAGGAGACTGCGATCACACTAGAGGCCACAACATCTTGGTCTTCATATATTCAATGAATCCCTCAATTTTATTAACGAACTTGATGGAAGAATTCAATTCCTAAAGGAGGTCTAGAAGGATATTGAAGTCATGCACTCCAACGGAACACTCATGGGGAGATCATATAGAAAGTATTCATATGCGGGAATGGTCCTTAATTTTCAGTCTCACCATAACTATAGACTGAAGATAGGAATACTGAGGAGTTTGATAATGAGAAGCTTACGACTAACAGACAATGAATTTTGGGACGAGGGGTTGGACAAACTGACACAGATTTGCCTTAATAACGCGTACCTCAGAGAATTTATAGAAAAAAATGTACATGTTATAGATGGCAGATTCCAACTCGGATTTGATGAAAATCAGATCAGCAATCAGGACGACCAGAAGTGGGTTTGTCTACCCTCATCAGAACTGAGCCAACAATTGCTATTATTATTAAGGAAATGGAATATAAAGGGGATAACAAAGGAGAAGAAAACACTATTCATCAGTCTGCCGACGCAATACGAAAATACGGACAAAATTGAATGCTCGGGAGTTTATCGCATCAAATGCGGCAACTGTGATCAGAAGTAGATTGGTGAAAAAGGAAGAAAATTCGGCCTATGAATCAAGGAACATCAAAGACTCTGCAGAAATATGGATAAGGAAAGATCCGAAATAGCGGAACACATTGCACAAACGGGGCATGAAATGTACTGGAAATCGATTGAAAGGTTGGCTGCATATGGTGAAAATACGAGAAAACGCAAGATCAGAGGCCATCGATATACTGAACAGGAGACTTTAAGAAGGCAAGAACAGCGAAAACTTTGTATATTGCCTAAACAAACTTGGAGATGACCAGTCAACAGCAAGATCAGCAAAAAGGAGACGACTGGATCAAGGTAACATCCTTAATTTTAGAAAAAGAAATCACAGGGAGTCGATGAAGAAACAATCAAAAGCAAATAGGAGGCATCTTCATTACGCCTAATCAAACTAAGTAGAACCACGACAATTGTGGGTTGACACACAAGAAACTAGGACGTAGGAAATGATTGACATGGTATCACAGATAGAAATATGAAGGACTCGGTGGAGACTAAAGCTATTTGGCTAACAATAGACGAGTTTTATCATAGACGTGATCCATGAAGCACGTCCATTTTTAGTCAACGCCCTTTAGCATTCACCGCGTCTATCCTGTTTCTATCCGGAATACCAAGTCTATGACTTGCTATGCCCTAGTCTCTTGTGTGCCAACCCACAAATGTTGTGGTTGAACATTGCACCTAATCAAAGCAAGCAGTACCACAACATTTGTGGATTAGCACACAAGAGACTAGGGCA